CGTGACACCCTGTCACAGTTTACTTATAGATACTTTTCCGTGACACCCTGTCACAGTTTACTTATAGATACTTTTCCGTGACACCCTGTCACAGTTTACTTAATGATACTTTATCGTGACACCCTGTCACAGTTTATTCAGAGTTATCTTTCGTTAATGAGATTCGTTGATATTCTCGAATGAGAATTGAGACTTGAGTTCTCTCTGAAGACTTCCATCAGTCTTTAGATAAGTAGCCATACATCCTAATTGGGGAGAGAGTGTATCTCTTATGTCGATGCTTTACACGTCATTGAAATCCAAGCTATGTTCAACTTATATATTCTGGTAATGTAATCAACCAATGTAAGTGTTGTATTTATTTATTGTTTGTCTTAATAAAAACCATTTGAATTGAAGTCTGCCTAGTTATTATTTCATAATGCAGTATTAATTAGGCAAGGCTATATAATTAATAAATTAAGTTAAAGTGAACCGTTTATTGGACAACTCCTAAAAGAGGAGAGGAAGCTCTTGTAAAGAGCCGTACGACAGAGCTGTTGCCAAGACAACAAGTCGTCGGACGACTCACTTCATGTTAACCCAAACTTATTCGCCATCTCTTGTCTGCCTATCTAATTAAATCGTATTCGAGCTATCTTTCTCAATTAAGGTTAGACTATTTATCAAAAAGAACTCGTCACTAAAAACTGTTCATGAGGAATAGATAACGTCTCTGATTGACCTTTTGAAACTAATTAAAGACCTAATTATTGTTTGAACCCATTTAATTAATGAGCGCCACCTTTGAATGATTGTTTCGATGACAATATTCAATTGGACAATTTTTATACGTGACAATATTCACTGTATGTGTGTCTCATTAAACTTAATTATACTTTTATTCCTTGAATTTTGGAGTTTTCCATCAAAATGAGTCCAATTCTGAGGAAAAAAGAGAGCACTTCTTATGCGAAAAATGATTCTTTAGTTATCTTTAAGTTTATGAAACAAACTCTTAACTAAAGCTTATATGTATTTAATGTTCAAATTGATTGTAAGTTACATGTATTTTGATTGTTATGGGAAAACAACATGTTTTAATCATCAAATGCGAAACTGAATAACAAATTGGATTCTTATACTGCAAGTATTCAATGATTTATATTATCAATAACTTAATACATTGTACAGTAAACTAACAATACATACATATTTATAAATACATGTATTATAAAGTGCCTTATTTGAGATTATTGACCATAATTAAATTCAAATAATAATCATATTAATTAGAAAGATGTTAATGTAAAAGAGTTCTTATAGTTGAGTTAGTTTTGACCAGAAATGAGGGCAATATTTAATGCAATTATAATCCATACAGTATTACACAAAGCATTTAATACATCATATTTGGTTGAATCTGAAATCGATATACACTTACATTTATGTATGTATTGTATAATACGATAAATGTATGGGAAATGGACTGAATTTGAAGAAATAATACAATTCTTATATATTGTGATTACATTTGAAAACGTCTTTCAAAACTATTTACATGCAGTTCTTTCAAAATGATCATTTTACTAATGCTATTCAAATGCTGTCGAGACCATAGTATACACTGTATTACAATTTGTGTAAAGTGTACATTTGAAATTTGTTATGTATAAGTTTTTGCAATGCACTCAAAAATAATAAATCATGTTCAAAAGTACATTGTAATAAGTTGTACACTAAAAGTGGGGTAATTATGACCATTATAGACATTATAAATATATTTTATGTAAAAAAAAGTTTTATAAAAAGTGAATAAAAAATGTTTATATAGAGTTTGAACTAAAGTTAAGTTTATTAGCATTTAATGACATTTTGTTCCTGTTTTCAGAGCTTTGAAGCAAAAAATAAATTACTTTTAAATAATAATAATAACAACACTTTTTTCGCACAAATCATAGCATTGAGTGAATGCTTGAATTGTGTGCGAGAAGTGGCAAACAGTCTGTGAATGGCATCCAAACTAAAACATGAAGTTTGAAATACTATAGTAATTGTATAGCAAAAAGAGTGAATGTCTGGGCAAACGAGTTGTGGCACCTGTTCTGCCTGTGCTCTCCTCTCATGTGTAATATACCCGTCCTATCACTCTATAACTACCTGTCCTTTCCCGGGGGTATCTCTTAATGATTGAGTCACTGATGACTCATTCAATTGTAAAACCAAATGAGAGAATGAACTCAAAAGCTGACAAACTTTTGGCCATAGAGTAGAGACACAGAAAACACTGCTATAGTTTGAGCGCAACTCTACTCCCAAACACAGCACAACACAACATAGCATTGCATTGCAAATACATTGCATTGTTTTGTCAAATAGCTATTCATTTAGTGACCAAATCTACACTAATTGTGTCCAATTGATGACCATTTTTGTGCAATTAGTGGATGTGTTGGATGTGCTGGTGATCGGGGGCTGACAGGGGTTGCGATAGAGTGTAGTTGTGGGCAGAGATGGCGCTGTGAGCGAGCGTTAGCCCACTTTAACGCCATTTTAATAGGAGTTGTGTTTTGTGAGCACTTTTCAGGTGACTCTCATTGACTCTCTATTGACAATACTATTGCTATTGAATGGCATTCAGTGTTGAATGCATTGAATGTATCCGTCATTCAACTCAATACTTGACTCCACTATTAAATCAATGTTTTCATTCAATTGATGCCATTTTGGACACAATTTAAGCCTTGGTTTTGGTTGAATTGTGGTCTCAATTATTGCAATCATTTGAGATCACGACAAGTGTTTGGTCTGATTGTGTGAACCGCTCTTCATATACCTCTTGTGTAAACATGGGATCCATTGTATTGTCATTATTGTTGTGGTAATTGGTTTCGCCGATCGCAACACATTGACGTCCAGTGACGACAATATCACCGATCGGTTCCACCTCTTGGTCTGTGCGTTGGCCTCACTATACGAGTGAACGTTTTTGGACACAAAACGAGTCGTTTTGAGCGTTAAATGTGACCAAAACTGTGTCTTTATTTCTCAACAAATAAACGAAACTTTATTTCAATTGTATTTGTATTAAACGGAAGTCTTTTGCAAAAGCCGTCAAACAATTCAACCTTTTATTCAATATTTTTATCACTTTTTATGTAAGTTTTCAGTCATTCATATCATTGCACATGAATTTCATAAACGTTTTCATTGATTACAATGTATTGTGAAATGAATTAATGGATCAATTAATTGAATGTTTAATTTAACGATTAGTTATGTTGTGTTGAAATTGACCGCCGATTAGACGACAAGCAATCAAACAATGGCTACTAGTGTTCGGACACCTCTTCAGACGGTTCACGAATCCGTTGCCACCGATCAGGTCTGACCTCCATTTCCTATCACATCCTTAACACAAACATGAAGGACAGTTAGTGTGGGGGCAGTGGGCGGGGGTTTGCGTTATGCACATGATGTACACCCTTAACACTAACCGTCTTGTGTGTGATCTATGCATAAAATGGATATATTTATTGATATGAATTGTTGTCCAACAGAACGATGAGACGATTCAAATCAATCCGATCCGAACGACAACCAGGACTCGCACGTCAGAAGAGCCACATATCGGTCGCTACCGATTGCTGAAGACTATAGGGAAAGGAAATTTTGCAAAAGTAAAGTTAGCCAAACATTTGCCGACCGGTAAAGAGGTTGCAATCAAAATCATTGACAAAACACAACTCAATCCATCGAGTCTTCAAAAAGTATGTATTTTTTGTTTTCTTAAGCGGTTTTTTGCATTTAAAATATTATCTGTCTATTTGTTGGTGTAATTAAATATATTTATGTTTTTGTAATACGTTTGCACTATATTTGAGTGTTTTGTGAATATAATTGAATTGTGACCTAAAATAAGGACAAGAAAAGCACTGAATTGTTTGGCCTATAAATTGATTGATTGATTGTTTTGTACGCAAAGCTATTTCGAGAGGTGAGGATAATGAAGATGTTAGACCACCCGAACATTGTTAAGCTCTTCCAAGTGATCGAAACGGAGAAGACGTTGTATTTGGTGATGGAGTACGCGAGCGGTGGAGAAGTGTTCGACTATTTGGTAGCTCACGGGAGGATGAAGGAGAAAGAGGCCAGAGCTAAGTTCCGGCAGATCGTGTCCGCTGTCCAGTACTGTCACCAGAAACGCATCATTCATCGAGATCTGAAAGCCGAGAACCTTTTGCTCGACAGCGAAATGAATATCAAGATCGCCGACTTTGGGTTCAGCAATGAGTTCGTGCCCGGACAGAAGCTCGACACCTTCTGTGGCAGTCCTCCATACGCCGCGCCCGAACTCTTCCAGGGTTTGTACCAAAGCATCCACACAATTGTAGCCCAAATTCATGTTTAATGTTTGTGTTATTCTTTAGGAAAGAAATACGACGGACCAGAAGTGGACGGTTAGTATACTATTGTTAACCATAGTATTCGCCGATTATTAATGATTTTGTTTGCTTTACATTTGTTTAGTGTGGAGTTTAGGCGTAATATTGTATACTCTAGTCAGTGGTTCCCTTCCCTTTGACGGCGCAAATCTCAAAGAACTTAGAGAACGAGTACTTCGGGGCAAATATAGAATTCCTTTCTATATGTCGACCGATTGCGAGAATTTACTTAAAAAATTTCTGGTTTTGAATCCGGCAAAGAGGGCCTCATTAGAGGTAATAGTTGTTGCATTTTGTGGCCATTATTTACAATACTTTTTTCCATTAGAATATAATGAAAGACAAATGGATGAACATATCCTTCGAAGACGACGAACTCAAGCCATACATCGAACCCGAACCAGATTTAGCTGAACTGCGAAGGATTGATATCTTATCGTCAATGGGTTACGGAAGAGAAGAAATTGAAGAATCACTTAGGAGTCGAAAATATGATGACATTATGGCTAACTATTTACTATTAGGAAAGCGCACAACAGAGGTATTGATCACTCAATTGAATTCAGTTATAAATAACGAATAATGTATTGACAGAACGAATCGTGTGATTCGCGGTCGAGTTCGAGCCTTTCTTTGCGCGGATTGCGTCCGAACGCAGAGATCACTAGTAATAGTCAGTCACCATCTCATGTGAAAGTGCAGAGGAGTGTCTCCGCGACGGCCAAACCGCGAAGGTTTAGTCACGGAGGAGATAATGCCAATCAAAATGCGACGAACAGCGCGTCCGCGACCTCCGCCGCCACCACTTATAAGAAACAAAACGCTTTAGAAGTGAACTCTTCCAAAGACGGCACAAACAATTCAAACGGTCCGCCCTCTCCTTCTGTGACGAACAGCCGTTCAATCAAATCTCCTTCTGGAGGTGTCTTAGACTCTGGAGGTTCTTCAGCCGCTCAAGTACTCAGTCCTTCAAAGATCACAGCCATAGGAATGGGATCATTGAGACAAAAGCCCACCACTTCTCCCATTTCTGCCGCTGTTTTGAAGAACACTTTTAGTGGAATTCCTCGAAGAAATACTTATAATTATAACAATGAAAAGAGTGCGTCCACTGAAAAGGCATCCATTAATGATAACCCCGGGTATGAGTTGCACACAATTCTTACCATTATTCACACGACTAACACTTATTTGCATGAATTGAATGTTAATTTGTTTGTTTTCTTACTGTAAATCTCTGTGTATGTCATGAATCGCATGGTTTATGTCTTTTATCTTGACTTTAGTAACACTTCTGAAGATAATTCAAACTCGAGTGCGTCGACAATATCTTCTATTGCGACCCTCAGACCATCTAAAGGTCACACTAAGTCGGCCTCAATTTCAGTCGCCGGGCGTAACAAAAGTGATTTACGTCCTGATAGTAGTACTGACTCGAGTCGCGTCGCCGGCAGGTCTGAGCTCTTACTAACTCTTCTACTTCTTCTCACATTTTTATATAAACAAATATCTATTACTTTATTTTTGTTGCGCTTATTATTTACTTTTAATTATTTGATTTGATTATGAAATATATTGTGGATTTGAAGTGAAGTTAATTCTGTAATCACATCCAAACGAATAGCTCTTCAACCAAAGGTGCGATCTCTCCGCTGCCGGTCGTGAACCGGGCGTTTCCCAGAGGGACAGTCAATAGGAGCACATTTCATAGCGGACAGACTCGGGAGAGACGACAACCCAATTTCAATGGTCCGGGAGGTGTTCCCCTCCAGACACAGGACACGTCGGGACTCTCGAGACAGTCTTTCTTTAGCAAATTATCCTCAAAATTTAGCAAACGGTATGTCTTTGTAAAGTGTAATGATTTGAATAAATATGATTGAATGAATTAGTGAACAACTCGTTTGCAGAACAATGGCTGACGACTCGACAAAACCAAGAAGTCTTCGCTTCACGTGGTCTATGAAAACCACTTCATCTCGAGATCCGAACGAAATAATGCAAGAAATTCGTAAAGTGTTGGATAAGAATAACTGCGATTACGAGCAAAGAGAGAAGTATCTGTTGCTCTGCGTTCACGGCGACCCCAACACCGACTCTCTGGTCCAGTGGGAGATCGAAGTCTGCAAACTTCCTCGACTATCACTTAATGGCGTCAGATTTAAACGCATTTCCGGCACTTCTATCGGATTCAAGAATATTGCCTCAAAAATAGCAAATGAACTAAAATTATGACTCGAAGACCACTCTCACTATTGGAACCAATCAGAGATATAAGAGTGCTTTTAGAAGAGAAATATTGCAATTACTTCGTAGGAGATTAACACTTATTTAATTGTTTAGTATTATTATGTTTTAATATTAATTATTATGTTTTAATTATTATAATTTTTGGACAAATATTTGATGAATCGGTGCGAAACAAGTTAATGATTGTTGTTATAACTCTTTGGCAACAAATCTTATACTTTTTGGAGAATCTTATGGTCATAAATATGAATATATTTCTCGACTGAACCGGACATCAAAAAAGTGATGTCTTGTGCGACTCTTGAGTTGTTTGGTTTCGATCGTCACTCAAAACTCATCTCAACATTTGTTGTCATCCATTAGTTCCACACTTTTTAAGTGAAAACAATCGCAAATTATTTAATAGTGTTTTTTGTGTACATTTTTTGAACTCAATTCTAAATATTTAGCAATTCTTACATTCAATGAAAAAACAAACAATCGATGAATATATTCAGTGAAATATTGATTTCAATCGTTATTATAATTAACTTCATAACAAACGAAGCAAACTGTGAATTGAATTAAAAAATTTATTCTTTGGTCGAAACTTTTTTGGAGATGTTATTTGTTTTTAATTATTATTATTATTATACCTTTAAATTAATAGATTTTAACGACAAAACGATATCTTTTCAACATTTGACGCACTTTTCAATTGTGCTTAAATTTTAGTGTTTGTTTCCATCAATTTCTAAACGAAAATGTATTGTAAATATAGTTTTATGCAAAAAATCATAAAATCGAAACTTTAAAAAATATTTCATTTGTCGCCGAATATTAAAACACAGCGTTATATCAAATGATGTGATATATCGTTGACTTACTATTCATTGTTTTCAAACTAAATTAAGTCTACAAAAGAGCCACAAATATGATAAGCATTTGACGAGCCATTAGTTATCACTATATTAAAGGAATTAATATATATTTTGTCGATAGTTGTGCCACAGATTAATGATCTAAAGTTTGATTGGATATATATTTTTGTCTCAAAAGTGGTTATTATTAATGAAAAAATAAATCATTCCATAATGTGATCCAAAATATTGAAGGCATTTTCAGCACTCCTTTTAATCCAATTAATGCTCATTTATTTTGGATTATTTGCAATCAATAGTCGTTTCAATTGACAGTCAAACGAATTATAGGTATATTAAAAGTGTCGCCAATTTCTTCGAGTTTGTCCTCAAATTAAAGTATTTTTTGGTAGAAATTGAATGATTAATCTCTTCATTGCCTTAAAATTTATATCGATATAAAGTATTAAATATTTGAAACGAAGAAATGTTTGCGAAAACATCCGAATAGATTGAGCATTGACTCCATTGACTCCAATACTATAATAAATTGTAATCAAATCCCTTTTGACTCGTCTTTAATCGCTTATCTGAGGCTCAATAATATTTGTTGTAATAATAATTAGAAATATTGTGTACATTAACTGAACGTTGTTTTGTTGATTACACTATCTCTGAGAGTTATATAAATTGCATTTTAATAATAAAATAAACCTGATTATTAAAACACGAGTTATCTTTATTTCACCTTTTTATGCGTTATTCCCGTTTTTGCAATAAATTATATTTAAATGTTTTTCAGACACTATTCTCATAATTTTCATCGTTTAATACTATATATAATTTGGTCGTAAATGAGTTCATTCTTATAGTGATTGCAATTAAGAAACTCATCACAAAAGTACAGTTACTTGAGTTAAATCAAGTTTCATATTAACTCAAAGATTGTCATCTTTAAAAACAATTAGCAGATTGTGAGTCATTTCAGTTATTACTGAAAAAGTAATCTTATTTTATAAATACGTGATTCTATGGCATTCAAACATAGCTGTCCTTTGCATTCAATGCTAACCAATTGCTAACCTTTTATTACATTTCATAAAATTTGTGATAAACTAACCAAACATTGCAAATGTTAAATCAAATTATAGACTAATTTGTTTAGTATTTTAATATGATTTAAGGTTTCCTTTTGAGTTGTTCCGACAACAAGTCATCAATAGTTACCATTTCTTGCATTTCTTTAACTAGACTTTTGCAATCATTTTGTTTTATTTTTTAACATTTTTTAATACAGAAAATTAGAAAAATGATAAAAAATCACGACTTATTTTGTCAATCAAATCATTTAAATAATTAATGTTTTGCCAAATAATAGTGCAATTTATCGCAGCTGTTCTTCAATGCCATTCAAATGGAGTAATTTATTAATATTTGACCTCTTTTTCCCAAATAATGCTAATATTAATGAATAGGTTTTGAAAAATATTTGTTCCTTTCATTACTATTTGCACATATATTTTGAATTGAATATGAAATGAATGAACAATTATTGTTTTCAAACATATTCTGTATTCATAGCAATACTGTATTACTAAAGAATGCGAGCAATTAATAGAGGAATCTTTCACTCATTTTGTTATTTAATCAACAAATAGTTTAATTCCTTATTGTATTTAGAAATGTATGCTTTGATTAGCACAATATTTGGTTAATTACTAATGCATTGTATTATTATAACTATAGTAACTATTTTAGCGGTTAATAGCGTTAGCCTAAGAGTTGGTCCACAGATCATACCATTAGTCGTTTTAACAAATTTTAACTATAAATAATTAATTGAGGTGTAACTAACTAGTTAAATGATAAACAACTATTTGACCAATATTTGTACGAATGGCCTAATTTTTACTAAAATTTGATAAAATTGATATCAACATGGCTGGTAATTGTAAAGAATTAAAATTAATCTTGTATAAATTGACGGCAAACAGTATAAATTCTAAAATAAAGTAGCTTGATTGACAAATATTAGGACAATGCACACTATAAAACTATGTATTTAAAATAATTTCATTCATTGTACGAATTAACTTAATAAGTTACGTAAATAAGTTAATCGGATATAATAAGTGATTTTATAACACAATAAAAATATCATATCACAGTAAATATATCAAATACAATGTTTTACAACTATTGTATAATACCAATATATCAAACTTATTAATTTAATTTTACAATACTATCTTACAATATTACCTTATTCCGTTTATTTGGTAAAAATATCAAGATAGTTTTACGTAATTAGAACTAAATTTTAGACTCATTAAACAAAATTATATAAATAATACTGTTATTAATGCATAATAGATCGCTGGACAACCATTAGTGACAATTTTTACTATAAATATCAATATTTTATCAAAAATAAACAACTATTTAATTTAAGTAACAATTTGACCCCTTTTTATTCACTATGATATCCAATTCATAAGTATTTTCTTTTACTTTACTTTACTTTAATCCGCTGGCGTTCACGAAAAGAATACTTAACTTTAACTTTAATATGCAAAATAGTAAGCAGACATCTATAAAACATCTAATACATCTATTAACAATACATTTATTTACACATGGAATTTAAATTAAAGTAAAGTTCACCAAAAAATTCTTATTTTAAAGTTCAGGGTAAAACTTCAACTTTAAGAGTAAAGTATAAGTCTAATTTACCTAAAATATTTTTGTTAAAACTTGCGAAATACTTATTCAGTTAAAGTATTGCGACTTGTGATGAATTGTATATTACTGTTATAGTGACGATTTGACTAAAATAAAAAACTAATAAAAAACTAAACTTTATTATTGGAAATTATTTTGCGATGCTTTGCTAATTACTGGAAAATGTTGAGCAAACACTTGTCTCATAGCCAGTAGTGGGCGTCACCGGCGCTACGCCTGCCCTCCCATTGGCTGACAGGCGCTACGAATGGGGGAGACGTGGGGTCTGTGGGAAGAGCAGTGTTTGAGTGGTTAGGGTTTTGATAGCATTGGTATGTATTGTGCGAACCGGCGATCACTGCATCGGTTGTGCCATCACTTGACTCGCTCTCATCGTATGTGTTGTACGGCTTGTGTCCAGTCATGGAAGTAGTGGACAGTCGGGTGCAGAACCATCAGAACCAGATGTACGGCCACTCTATGGCCGCCAACAGCTATATGGAGCAGGAAGAGGAGTGGGAGCGCGAGGGCCTACTCGACCCGGCCTGGGAGAAGCAACAGAGAAAGGTCAGTTTAGTTTGTACAAACTCGTTACAGCTGTGCCACCACTACCATCACTGCCAGCATTAAGGCAACCATTGTTTTGATTAATCATTCACTCATTCATCTCTCGATACCATAATTATTGTGTTTATAGTGATCGCAATTCCCTGCCATTCACTACATTATACACCACTTTATATTTTACACACCCTTAAGATGTGTCAAATAGTTTGCATTAATTCTTGATTTTTTTATAATTTTCTCTTTGGTTTTCAAAATGAAATATTTTTTATTACGAATTGAAAGACAGGAAACCAATCGCAGGGATTGTGAATGCAATTAAAAAATGTATAAATATAGAGAAATGCGTGAAATGTGAGAGAATTCTAACATTTGTTATGTTTTACACAATAAATGTCAAAATGATCGCCAATTGTGACACTCGTGTTGGGCTGACTAGAAGTGGCACGAGTTGTGGCAGAACTCGCATTGATTTCATAATTCTTTATGGAATTAGCGTTTAATCTGTTGTTACAGTTGTGGCAAAGTTTTGATTACAGATCTATATATACATGTATTGTGATTAAATCGGAGGCTGTATTAATATCAGATCGACTTGAGTTGTATTAGTGTTTACTATTGGCTCCATATATGGGTGACATAAGTTGGCAAACAGTCCTCCAATCCATTGCGGAGGGAGAGAGAGAGAGAGGCTATGAGTGCGTGAGAGATCAAGTCTGGGCTTGATTTGAACCCCTGTTCTCACATACATTTGAAGCCATAATACAAGTATTGTATTAAAATAATGTAATGTAGAGTTCATTCAAGTTATTTGCTCTAAATATAGACCAAACTCACAGCACAACCACTAATTTAACTGATGCTGTGTTTTATACAACACTTCTTGGGTTTATTTTTCGCTTACTTTACTTCAATGTCTTCACCAACAGCTCAGACATGCATTTATTATCCATTAATTAACCCTTTAGTCATATCTCCACTGATATACACATTTTTGATATGAAAGACACTTAATTGACGACACTTACAAATATGTGAAAATATTTAGCTCTCTTTTATTGCAATTTTTCACTCATTTAATAAAACCTTTGAAAATGAGACAAAAAACAATTTTACAGGAATTTATGTTTTGTTGGCATTAATTTTCTACCACATGTGTCTGAACGCTATGCCCGACCGCTCAGGCAATTACTAACACAGTCTACACAAGACTTTTGCCCACACTTTGGACATAAAACTTAACTTTTCAGACAATTATATATACAACTCATAAATATTTCAAAAGCATTAAAATCGCACTCTTTTGACAGTTTAAGTCAGAAAACATGATTGTTTTGGCTCTCATTTACATATTCTATGTTTGAAACCATTTAAACACAAACTAGCAATTTATTTAACAAACTATTAACACTGCTATACAATGTGTAGACATTCACGGCGTGGTGTAATTCCCATCTCCGCAAAGCCAACACTCAAATCGATAACATTGAAGAAGACTTCAGAAATGGTCTAAAGTTAATGCTTCTGTTGGAAGTGATATCCGGGGAAACGTTAGCCAAACCGGACAGAGGAAAGATGAGGTTCCATAAGATCGCTAACGTTAACAAAGCCCTCGACTTCATTGCCAGCAAAGGAGTCAAATTAGTTTCCATCGGCGCCGAAGAGATAGTCGACGGCAACACTAAAATGACTTTAGGACTCATTTGGACTATAATTCTGCGATTCGCTATTCAAGACATTTCAGTCGAAGGCATTACTTCTAATTATTAGGAGTTTTGTTACAACTCTAATATACTGTGTATTATTTGTATTAGAAATGACTGCCAAAGAAGGACTGTTGTTGTGGTGTCAGAGGAAGACAGCGCCGTATAAGAACGTAAACGTCCAGAACTTCCACTTGAGTTGGAAGGATGGCCTCGCGTTCTGTGCCTTAATTCACAGACATCGGCCCGATTTGCTCGACTACTCGAAACTTTCTAAAGTATTTTTTGCAACTATTTGTTGATTTGTGACATATATTAAAATTGATTCATTCGTTGATTTATAGGACAATCCTTTAGAAAATTTGAATCTTGCTTTTGATATCGCAGAGAAACATCTGAATATCCCCCGAATGTTGGACGCCGAAGGTATGACCACTGCTCTATTCATGATATACTTTGCATTAAATTGTTTGCAAGTAGTAGTCATAATGAATTGAAAATATTTAATATAAGAAAATGCGATAGAAATAAATTCTTGTGCCAAACGATGGTTTTAATATACTTTTCCATTAGGTGTTAGGATATGTGAACATCTTTTTAAAAAAACCCCAATTAATTACTTGATTGTTAGATACGATAACCGTTTAATTGAAAATATTTTTATTTATTTTTGTCTATTAACACAAAGCTATGAATGTCTTAAATATATTATGTTTTTTATATTGAATCTAAACTATGTTTTTGTCTGATTTATAAGATTATATAAGATATGACTTTTTTCTAACAAAAGATTGATTACAATCGAGTTATCGATTGAAGTATTAAATTATTATTTCGCACAGAAATGGTTAATATGATAAAACCCGATGAAAGGGCTGTAATGACATACGTGTCCTGTTATTACCACGCATTTCAAGGAGCACAACAGGTAATCTATCGGTGCAAACCTGTATACCTTTATGCATTCAATGCTCTCATTAGAAGCACACTATTATATAAAACTTTTTTGTGAAAATAATACCCGAAAGAATAAAAATGTAAAAGCGATGCTAATCTGACCGCCCCTTACACTACCACTACTTGCAAATACATTTCGACTGCACTTAGAGTTTGATTTTAAAAATATTAATCAAATAATCAATTAATTCATTAATGTTTGAAAATTGCTTTTTTGTCGCCACAAATGTTTGAATTTAAAAATTAGATATAAATAACAGTCCAATGCCTGATGAAAGGGCTGTAATGACTTACATATCCTCCTATTACCACACATTCTCGGGCGCCCAACAGGTATATCACCCGATGATTGAATTTGTTTGCATGCATTTGACTAACGGATATGATTTTGAGGACAGGCGGAGACGGCTGCCAATCGCATCTGTAAAGTACTAAAAGTGAATCAAGAAAATGAGCGATTGATGGAAGAGTACGAACGCCTGGCCTCTGATCTTCTGGAATGGATTAGACGCACGACTCCGTGGCTTAAAAATAAGACAACAGATAATCAATTAGCGACCGTTCAGAAGAAGTTGGAAGAGTTCAGAGCTTATAGAAGAGTCCATAAGCCTCCCAGAGTTGAACAAAAGGCCAAATTGGAGACCAACTTCAATACATTGCAAACGAAACTTCGGTTAAGCAATAGACCGGCGTATATCCCGACCGAAGGCAAAATGGTTTCAGACATCGGCAACGCCTGGAAAGGCTTAGAACACGCGGAGAAAGGCTTTGAGGAATGGCTGTTGTCTGAAATGATGAGACTCGAGAGGTTAGAACATTTGGCCCAGAAGTTCAAACATAAAGCGGACACTCATGAGGAATGGACTAAAGGCAAGGAAGCGATGCTTCAAAGCCAGGACTTCCGTAACTGCCGTCTGAATGAAGTGAAAGCTTTAAAGAAAAAACACGAGGCGTTTGAATCTGATTTGGCCGCACATCAGGACCGAGTGGAACAAATCGCTGCCATCGCTCAGGAGTTGAATTCATTGGATTACTTTGACTCGGCTTCGGTGAACGCCCGGTGCCAACGCATTTGTGACCAATGGGATCGACTCGGAAGCCTATCCCAGAAGAGAAGCAGTGCTCTGGAAGAGGCGGAACGTGTGCTCGAGAAGATCGATCACTTGCACCTCGAGTTCGCCAAAAGGGCGGCGCCGTTCAACAACTGGCTCGACGGCGCTCGTGAAGACTTAGTCGATATGTTTATTGTTCATACGGTTGAAGAGATCCAGGGATTGGTTGAAGCGCACGAACAGTTCAAACAGACTTTAGGAGAGGCCGACAAAGAGCACTCATCCATTGCATCGCTCTCTCATGAGGTGCAGACAATTGCCAACCAATACCAGGTTCCCGGAGGTATAGAGAACCCCTACACGACGCTTACGGCGCGCGATATCACTAATAAGTGGACAGAAGTTAAACAATTGGTGCCAAAGCGGGACCAAACCCTTCAAGCGGAACAACAAAGACAACTAAGAAATGAAGGCCTGAGGCGTAAGTTTGCCGAAAAGGCTAATGGCGTCGGGCCTTGGATTGAACAGCAAATGGATTCCGTGGCCGCCATTGGAATGGGAATGTCCGGCACTCTTGAGGACCAATTGGGCAAACTTCGACAGTACGAGACAGCCGTCAATGTGTACAGACCTCATATGGACGAGTTAGAGCGCACACACCAAGAGGTCCAGGAGAACATGATCTTTGAGAACAGATATACCCATTACACTATGGAGGTATAGCTCACCACCAATTGGTGTGCATTTGATGCATTGACTTAATTGGTGTTTTTGTTTAGACTCTGCGCGTCGGTTGGGAACAGTTGATGACTTCAATCCACCGAAACATTAATGAAGTGGAGAACCAAATCTTGACGCGAGACTCGAAGGGCATTACAACCGAACAGTTGAATGAATTCCGAGTTTCGTTCAATCATTTCGATAAGAACAGAGCGGGAAGACTGAACGACCAGGAGTTGCGCTCATGTCTGGTGTCGTTGGGCTATAGTATACGAAACGACAAACAGGGAGACTCTGACTTCAGACGAATCATGAATATTGTGGACCCGAATAACACGGGTTTTGTCTCATTCGACACTTTCCTCGACTTCATGACCAGAGAGAGCACAGACACCGATACCGCCGAACAGATAATCGATTCTTTCCGTATTCTGGCCTCCGATAAGGTTTGTATAAAATGATGATTTGATGAGTGAATTAATGGATGATTTGTGTGCAGCCATTCATAACAGCGGATGACTTGCGTCGGGAACTGCCTCCGGATCAGGCGGAGTATTGCATACAACGTATGGCGCCATATAAGGGGCCGAACGCAGCGGTCGGTGCACTCGATTACATGTCATTCTCGACCGCATTGTATGGCGAAAGCGATCTCTGAATGATGTGCTGAAGACTAGTCACTCACTTGCCATCAAAAGCTAATTTTCATCTATTATTTAAATTATAAAACGTTTAGAATTTCATATCTTTTAATAATTTGAATCATTTAACGAATATATACTATAAATGAAAGTAATTGTGTCTTAACTTAATTAAGTAATAATTTATTATAAAGAGAATCAATCCATATATTGATATAATTAATGCAAAATTGAGCTCAATTTGAAATGCGGCCCAACTTTCTATACATTATAAATATAATTACTATTTGATAGTCATTTAAACTGAATGTTCGTTTAGTTTGAGTGCCGTTTGGTTTGCGTCTGTATTATGTATTGTGAGCTCTGTTTAGAATATACTCGACGACAATGTCTTATGATTGGATGCCAACCAGTCTTCCCCAACATTTCATTCCTAACCCTATTGTTTCCCTATTGTGTCCAACAATTATTTGTAAAATAAATAAATTAATGTTTTCTCCAAATTTCAAACGCTTTTCATTATTTCAGTTTACACTCCATTAATGTCTCGCAAAGTAATGCACAAAATATTTGTCATTCAACTCTCATCTCGTGTTTGTGACACACTTTTCAACAAAACTGTTTTGTTTGCAAAAAATCGATTCTAAAATAGTTTTAAACTTTTTATAAAAGGAATGGTATCCGAGAGAAGAGTGGAGAGAAAAACAGATACAGTAGTTGTGATCGTATTGTAATCTCCGCTTTCAATCGAGTATTGCATACATTTAAAGAAACATTGTTTGAATTAAAGCCAATCTAATTATTTTTGGTTACATTTTTGTTGTACTCATCTTTTCAATAACCAAAATACTGTATAAAGTATTTACTAATTCAATGGATAGTACTTTGAAACTGGGAAATCAACAAACAGTGGTATTAAGTAAACATATACTCACTTCAAAGTATTGCAAATCGAAAGATAAAGTACTGTATTGTATACATTGTATGAAACTAATTGACCAAACAATCGGACGTTTGGTTATTGTTGTCAAATATACCATTAGAAACGTTGAATCTACGCTTTTGTGTCCACCACTGGTCTCACTCACCCGTAAACAGCATTTTTAAATAAACAAAATATGAGAATAAATTCTCGATTCGTGTGAATAAAAATACATTTATATAAATCAGTTCTGAATTGAGTTGTGTTTTGCAACACGTTTTTTAGCAAAAATCTTTTCATTTAATGTATTGTTTTTTGTTTGAAAATAGAAATTGTTTTTCGCTGTAAATCTACAAAAAATACACATTTATTTTAATAAATTTTCTTTAGGTTTAAATTAATAATTAATTTAATTATTTAAAAAAATTTAAGTAAAACTAAATGAAAATACTTTTTTTGGGAGAAAATAGAATTCGAGTTATAATTAATTCATTTAAATTAATTCAAAATTGTAGTCAAAATGAATAAAGAATTGTTAAAAATGTTTTCTATAATTAATTGCATAGAAATTGTTTTTTTTGTATAGAAAGCAATCAATACATACGGAAAGCATTTAAAGTAAATATTTTTTATTATTTATTTTTTTTGTAATTAAAGTAAAATTTATTATTTTGTGATAAAACAGGACTTATCGGCGAAAGCGATGAATGTTTGGCAACACATGAATGCGGGGTTCAGTTGACGGAGTAGTTGTGGTCCTCATCGCTGTTCTCCACTCTATTTGTGTCGCTATTTTTGTTGGGATTAATCCGTTTATACGTCTCCTCTATTATCGTTCGCCTAATAAACCAAACAATTAATGTTTAATTAAAACTGTTTTATAAATTATAATTATTGTCTCCTCTTTAATGTCAACTTAAATAATGAGCTAAATATGTGTTTCTCTTCAAAATATTGATTGAAAATTTGGGTCAATTTTTAGCCATAATTTATAAAAGAATAGATCGAGACTTACTTTGAGTCGAGTCCTCCTCCGGGAGGCAGAGAATCGATGTCATCGTAAAGAAGCGCCTGAAACACCTCAGCGACGGTCAGCTCTTCATTTTTCGCCAGTATTTCTATAATTAAATTGTATATTAAATGAATGTAAAGTAAGATGTGCTGTGAGTTGTCTCATACCCTGTACTCTCTTCTCTAGTAAAGAATTAAGTTCTCTATCTTTTTGTTGGGCGTCTTCACTAACATTAGGAGCGCCGGGAAAACAGACCAAAACTACACTCATGTTGTCTTTACTCCCCTGTAATCGTATCAAACAATTAGTTAACGAAGTTTTTGTTGCAAACATATCATACCCTATGGAGACACGTGTCGATTATAGATGAACAGACAGTCTCTAAATTTGGATGAATTGTCAACTGATGTCTAACGTAATCGCATAACTCTTCGTTATCCATCACATCCCAAATGCCATCGCAGGCTAACACCAGAAACTCGTCGGTATTTTCTCTGCTTTGAACTGTAATTTCGGGTTCGGGAGACACTAACTGTTCGCACGGACCCCGACCTTCAACCTGATGTGCAAACAGTACATGAGATACCAATCACACGACCAAACAAAGTGACAATCATATGTCTGAAAGCAATACCTGTTTGTACTCGTAATCTCCCAAAGCTCTGGAGACGGCCAGAGATCCGTTGACGCGTTGAATCATAACACTTCCGCCTGCCTTTTGAATCCTCTCCTTTTCAGTCGGATTAATGGGTTTGTGATCGAGAGTAGAGAAGAATGCTTTACTCGAACGGGAGAGCACTGCTCGCGAGTCCCCACAGTTGGCAAAGAAAAAGTGTTGCGGAGATATAAGACAACACACGGCTGTGGAACCGCTCTTGTCTTCTCCGGACTCCACTTCAGGCAATCGTTTCATCTTTTCGTCTAACTTTAGAAACCCGTCTCTAATGCTATGTTTCACTGAATCTATTTGTTCGGCACTTATTGTGCCGTTGGATGCGTTAGACGACTGCCTGAAGTTATCAGTCTGTGTGATAGTGTCCAACAGGTTTTCGGCGCAATGGGCCGACACTCGGGCGCCCGCGTGGCCGTCAAATACTGCAAATTCAATACAATTAGTGTTGAGTGAGTTTAGTGTGAATGACTTGAATGAGTGGTCAGACCGGCAAAGAAGGACCAGTCGGTGAGTTGTGGGAGACCGACGACAGCGCAGTGGGCGTCTTCCATCTCGATCCTCCAGCCCTGCATTGAACTCAACCCAAACCGCAATCCATTGCCAAACCCTTCTTCCGTATGCTTTTCAGTCTTAGGTTTGTCGAGAAAAGCACCCATTTTTGCATACAATTCACCACTTGTTTGATTGATGTATTAATTGATTCCTCCGGTGATCTTTCGCTCTATATATTGAACACAAGAGATAAACGATTATTATATCAATCAAATGATGGACTCATTTTCAAAACGTTCATTCAATCGACACTTACGACAGTTAAGAGTTGTAAATATAACACAAATTATAATTACAACACAAATAAGCCGTGAAATCAATTCAAATGAAATATAATTGTAAAAAACACCCAAAAATCAGTAGAAAAACGACTGCATATTAACTGTAATTATAATTGTTTTGGTTTTTGGTTTCAATTCATTTATCGGTTATAAATAACTCAATAAAATAGACATATTTTGTGTGTAATTATTGCTAATTATATATCAATTCATTTCAAATCAATTTCACATATTTTTGACAATCACTTCAATCGTGTCTAAAAGGAGCGGAACTAGTCTTGTGGTGATCTTCGGCCAGCATTTGAGTGCGGATTAAAGTCAATACAAAAGTGGATTCAATTGAGACGACAATTGAGAGGATTGTATGCGAACTGCAAACCAATTCAATGGTCACCAAAAAGTGTGGATCAGTGGCGAAGACAACACTTCCACTGCCAGTGATAATCAGCAAATGACGTGACCCTCAACTCAGAGACCAAAGCATTGACTCAAACCAATTGTGTCCACAATTGTTGGTCTCGTTGTGAGAGTTGTGTCGAAACTAACGCTTAATTAATGTCTGAATATAACCACAAATTGTATACAAAATGAATGATTCAATCAATTGTCCGGACATTCATTGCATTCATTACTTGACCATAAAATACATGTTTTTATTGCGATTATTATTATAACAAGCGATATATCGATAGTATCGACAACTCTATCACAAAACATACAATGCATTGAACACAGTGTTCGACACACTGTCACGATATTGTTACCTACATTTTGGGGGCAACTGTAGTCACATCTATCGTCTCATATGGCGTTCACATACAGTGCCGTCTATTATATCAGCGAAATATGTGTTGCATTGCTTTCAGTCAATTAGACTTGTAATTGGGATTCCCTGTAATAGAAAAGCAAAGGAATTGAAATGAGTGAATCGGGACGGGAGGGACGGGACGGCAATACCCATTTGTATAACATTACAATTCTGGTGAATGGCATTACTCGTGTGAAAAACCAATTTCCAGTGCATACAGCCCTATGCCTGCGGTCAGAGATTTGTCCAAAACTGCGGTGTTTGTGGCCATTCGCATGTTCTGTGACAGGAATACAAGTGTCTTCATTGTTGTGTTCATCACTATATCAATCGGGTGGGGATGGGTTGAGCCGCGTAAAGATATTTCCCGTTTGAGAGGGAATCCCTTTTATAAAAATTTCCCTCTAATTCCCTGTTATATCAGTATAGTTTTTGTACCAAAATATTATATTAAATTAGACTTGCAACTTTTCCCAAATTTCAATTCCCTTTGCTGTAGTTCATGCCAACAGGGAATCCCTTCCCTGTACAGGGAACAGGGAATCCTCGTGGATTCCCTATAACAGAGAAATTTAGTTGCAGGTTTAAAATTAAATGTATTAAAAACTGTAGCGTATTGTCTTAAAAACAATATCTTGTATCGTAAATGTAATGCACTGTAAAATTAGGTGATTTTTTAGTCCAATTAATTTTGAGAGAAAAAGAGGTCGGGATAAGAGGGAAGATGGACGGGACGGGAAATGATAATGTTAAAAAGTTGCATGTTTATATTGGTTAAACACTAAACCATTTGTTAACTAATTTAATGAATAATTTAGACGCAAAGAAACAGTTTATTATTTAATTAATTAATTAATTATTTGTTTAAAAAAATGCCTAAACATTTGGTAATTCTTACTCGTTAGTGAATTTAAATTCATGTTCACTTCGAGTCAATTAAAAGTTTGTAAAATAGTTTTAAAACAATTCAAATGAATGGAAAACCAGTTTTGAATTGATTTTTAGATTATTTTTTTTGAAAATATTTTAATTGAATTGAAATGAATGTACAAATTGTTTGCATATAATTACATACATTCACAGAAATTATTGCAAAGCATTAAACAATTAAAATCATTAAAAGCAAAGTAATCATTAAGTGATGTCAATGCAATGTTAATTAACATTAGAAAAGTGAACAGGGAAGTTGCAAACAGGGATACGATTATGTGATTCAATAATATTCAATTGCAAATAGTTAACAAAAAATTATTCTTGTAACATTAATTACTGTACTGTATGTAATAGAAATATAAGGGATGAAAAATTCAGTCAAATATTTAAATAAATATTTGAGAAAGTATGAAATTTCCCAATTTTTTAACTAGAAACTTTTGATTAAATAAAATATATAATCAATATATTAATTGGAAGAATTATCGTTTAAAATAATTTGAAAAAGGCTCTTGGTTCTCTTGATATTTTAAATTTATTTTAAAAATTTTCAAATTCTTGAAAATTGTATCATGTATTGTGAGAATATTTTACTTAAAGCATGAATTGTAAATCTTAAGGGAATAAAATGTTACAATTAGTATGCAAACTGAGTTATTGTTTCTTAATAGAAGTTAATTATGTGTGTACTGCTGGTCACTCTACTGACAAGAATTTGTTTGTACGTGTGTCCACTCCACTCTACTTTACTGTACAGTAATAGTGAATATTCAGAGTTATGTTGGATTGAAAATCGCGGCAATTGTTAAATAACTGTATAAATAGTGTGAATGAGATTCTGAGAGCATGTGTTGAGCCCATCCCTACCGGCACTCACTCTCAGTCACTCTGAATGACACGAATAGATGGGCACAAGTGATGTCGACAATGGACTCAAACGATCACTGGTTCGATGTGTTGACCGCCCGAAGACATGGCAGTGACTTCTTATGGATTGTGTGTCACGACTGGAAGTGCAGACAATACAAGTATTCACAGCAAAGGACTCCACATATGGTTAGCGACGATGTCTTCAACGAACCAGTCATTCAGGTCTGCAAATCATGTCTAGTGTTTACCTTTCGTTGTCGTTGACAGAGATGTCCATTAGATTTGGTATTGATTTAAAACAAAACTAATTCATTGATTGTTTCCATTAAAGCAGTCATTAATGGCAGCGAATCCGAGACTGAAGTCCAGAATCGATAAGATATTGACAGAAATGAGTCACACCTTCTCCTTAAGAACCGTACGATTTGTTGGATATTTTTTGACCAAAATTATGAAAAGTATTTACAAGAATGTGTTCGTCGACAACCATTTGGTGCTAAATCCCAGTTCAAAGCACTTCCACACGAGTCTGACATCGAGTCTGAGCCAAACGCTGAATGGTTTGGCCAAAGACTGTCCCGTACTATATGTGCCCTCACATCGAAGTTATGCAGACTTTTTGATCTTTTCGTTCATTTGCTTCACTCTTGACATTCCTTTGCCGACAATCGCCGCCGGAATCGACTTCTTAGCGCTCAATCAAATCGCGTCACTCATGAGATCGTGCGGTGCTTTCTATATAAGGCGTTCATTCAAACACTCCAACGATAACCTCTATTGGCATGTCTTTCGGGCTTACCTTCAGGTTTGACACTTTGATCACTTGTTTTGACTTAATTTTGCGATTAATTGGCGAACCATTTGTTTAGACTCTTGTGCGCGGATCAGAACAACCGCTGGAGTTCTTCATTGAGGGCACGCGTTCACGGAGTGGCAAATCTTTGTACCCAAAAACGGGTCTTTTGAGTGCGGCGTTGGAACTGTATTTGAATGGACAGATACCAGACCTCATGATTATTCCGGTTTCCATTTCGTACGATAGAGTACTCGAAGAAGGATTATATGCATCAGAATTGTTGCCAAAGGGAAGGACTTCTGGGAAACCGCCGGAAACGCCACGGAATATGATGACCGGCGCTAAAGCTATTCTCTCACAACAATTTGGTTCCGTTTATATTCGCTTTTGCGAACCGATTAGTGTCAGACAGTTATCCCATTCTCAACCCTTGAGATTAAGACATACACTCGACTCGAGAAGTGATCCCAATTTGATACAAACGCAACAAGAAATGGATTTCGTTATGGATTTGTCGAAAACCATAATCAAATCACAACAAATCAATTTCGTGTTTTCTCCCTTCAGTTTCGCTTCACTCGTATTCTTAACTTATTTGGATTCAACTGAAGTCTCGCTTCCAATCAATCAATTGGTGGAAGACATCGAGTCTTTGAGTTCATTACTTAACACAAAGAATTTGAGTTTTGGTTTTTGGCAAAAGAGTTTAATCGAAGAACTCTTTGAGTCTTTTGAAGTGCATTCAAAAGTTGTCACTATTTCTGATGACAAATCAAGAGTTGCCATCAATACCAGCGATCCATTGATTAGCGTATATTTGCAACAATACGCCAATCAATCGATGCAATTGCTGATCGATTTTGCCATATATTTATACTCGAGTGGAGATTATCATCGCTTTGAACGAATCAAATGGTTTTTGTGTCGAGAATTTATATATAAGACATCGGAAGTCAACGATTCCTACATTTTGGCACAATTTATGAATCAAATGCTTGTGACGGATAGAGCGCACAGAGTATTGGTCTTTCAAATCGATTACTACATTAAGAGCTATCTATCGATAACTAAATGGTTATTAATAAACGAATCTAGTCTTGAAAGTCATGTGAATATAAAAAGTTTAGTCAAACAAATGCAAATGGATTTGTATATTATTTCAGACTTAATACTAAATTGTTTAACAATTTTGACGAATAGTAACGCATTGTCCAAAAGCAGCGATAATAAGCTAACAGTCATTACACACAATATGAATGATATAATCAACGAATTAAGTCATTTGTCTCAATGCTCTCAAAGCGATTCAAATGTTCATCAAAATTACGCCAATTTTAAATTTAAAGCCAATTTATAAATCAATTTGTTTGCATTATTTTCTGATTTAACTCAAACTGTATTAATATTTATGAATAGTATTTGAAATAAAAGTATTAAAATATTGAATACAACATATGAACCGTTAATTACAATATTTATAAATTATAATCAATATGTTTGAGAACCAATGAGGAAAGTACCTGATGGTAGGTTTGGGTTATAAACTTTTTGAGCATTAATTCAATGCTATATTCAGTTTAAATAACCGAAAACTAAATCTAAACTTATAACAGAATTTACTGACAATTATATAATTAAAATTAGTTTCCAATTATTAATAATATATTATTTGATATGAATCTAAACGCCAATCATTTCCAGTGATATCCAATCCATTGTGAGTTTAATATCAATTTGAGTGATAATCACAGCCCTATTGTGAAGATTGTGTCAAATGAATACATTTAATGCAGAATTAATTACATATAAATGCAATGGAATTAACAAATAGCAAACGTTTAGTGATAATTATTTAATGAGCAGTTTTGGCATAAGTTAAGTATGAATAATACAAATAATTAAATAAACAATAATTTGAAACTCATTTAGAAACAATTGTATTATAAATATAATTGTATAATAAATATAAATATAGAAATAAATTGTATTATAAATATAAATATAGAAATAATTATATTATAAATATAAAATGTTTTACAAATTGTAAATTACAATTAATAAATGTTTTAAATGTAAATATTTCTGTCTTTAATATAAACGCCAATAATTTTCGCTGATTTCCAATCGCTGAGAGGTTTGACATCAGATTTAGTATTGAGTGCAATGGTCTGTATTTTCGGCAATAATGACAATGAATTCAATATATTTTCTGTCATTTCGTTGACATCAATGGATAAATATTGAAGTTTCGGCAAATGATTGGCAATATTTGGTACAAAAGTAATCTTATTGTAATTAAAGGAACGAATCGTTAAATGTGTTAATCGTTTACATTTAGCCAACGATTCACTCTTTAATATATAATTTTGAGGAAATCCTCCTTTAATTTCCAAACGTTTCAAATGATTGAAGTAATCATTAATTGTTTCAATTAGTTCACAGAAATCATCTTTTGAATGGATATACAAATTAATTGATAGTCTCTTGAGTTTCGGGCAATTAATAGCTATTCGTTTCAATTCATCGCAACATATATTGCCTGATATGATATGAATCTTGAGATCAATTAATTCAGTCATTTGTGACAAACCAGTCATTAGTATTGTATTGTTTTTATTACTAATGACTTGAATTGCTTTCAATTGTTTGCCATATTTTCGTTCAAATACTTGAAAATCCATTTGATTTTGTTTATTGAATGGAAAGCAAACTCTTTGTAATTTCTTAAATAAGATCTCATTTTCATTACCACTCAATAATAGAGACAATGAATCCGTGATATCTATTTGTGTTAAGTTTGGGCAACACTTGAGTGCTTTAGTTTCAATACAATTGTTATCCAAAGAACCTCTTATTTGAAAGAATTTCAATTGTTTACCAAATTTTGTAAATAATGTCTCAATTCTTGCATTATTTTGATTCCAAATACACATAAAAGAGGAAATTGTATACAATTTATGGCAGTATTTCATAATTGACTCAAAACAGGCTTTTGTGGAAATGTCTTTAATAGTTGTGATATTTTTGCACTTTTTAACTATTAATTCAAATGTTTTGTCATTTATTTTGATGTTGTCTTCGCGTGGGATCTCGTATTGAGTCTCATATATAACTCTCTGCCACTGTTGACACACCTCTTCGTATCGGAACCGCTCTTTCAATGGCAGATAAGACAGCAATAGTTGACACAAATCATCACCGAATCTGTCCATTGATTGTCTTCTTTCGGAATCACGTCTGAGACCAACTCTTCTTCTCTTCAGTTCATTCATTATTATTCATTCAATTGATTGACATTTCATTCACACAAACGATAAGAACTAATCCCTAAAGTGTTGGACAATAAGTTGTAATTAATAATTAAAACACAATTATATTTCTAATACTTTAAATAATTATATTTACGTTCAAAAGTTGTTTGTATTCAACACTCAATCACTTGTTGTGGTTATTCTTCCACTTCTTATGAGCCGACAATAGTTAGCATTAAGTCTTAAGTGATGTATTGGTAAGTGTTATGACTTATGTTTTTCAAGTCATGTTCTGGTCGTCATTGACTCGTCAAGTGATCCAAAGTCCCATTTTTGTGTTCATTGAGTCCAATTGATGAACAATGTGTGCATGGTCAAATGTGTGGTACCTGTTTGTGGTTGTGCAAGTTGTGCCAACAATGTCTTTGTTAGTCTCATACATGTACCGTATTATAAACATGCAGTCCATCTGTACCACAGATACCATACAATACGTGTAGTGTATATCAGACTAACTGAACGAAAGAACATTGTATTGAAAGATTTGCGAAGAAAGCATTGAAACTTGTAATTGTTGTCTCAATTAAACCTTAATTAGTATTACCGTAAAATCTTGTGCATTACCCGCCGGTTATACAAGGAAAAAGTGAAATGTTTGGAAAAATATCATGTGCGGCTTACTTTATTGAAACACTTTTGTTCAAAAACAATTATTTTAATTTGTTCTAAACATTAAATTACTTATAAGTATTTAAATTAAAATCTTTAATATTATTTATTAAGTTAATATGAGTTAGTTTAGGCTTAGGGTAGGTTTGACTAAAGTTACTGTAGTTATTCCTTTAATTGAAGTGAATTTTGTAAGTGCGGGACTAATAGCCATGAATTGAAGTCTACTAAATGGAACAATCAGTGACACATCTATTGCATATACATGTATTTCATTGCTCTGATAATAACTAATGTTCATCTAAATTAACAATATTATTAACATTCTCTTAACACTTACACAATACATGTGTTGTCAGAAACCTTTAAATAGTATATAAAATATGACATAACATTATTTTATTACTCTATGCTTTATACAGAGAGGTTCTATAACACAACATATCTTTATATTTGTTGAAGATTTTGAATTCACGTTTTTATAATAAACTGTTTTATGGTTTGACATAACGTAATGTAAAAAATTATTTGAAGAATTAGTAGACATTTAGACAATAAAAATAAATAGTGTCATAAAAATTGTGGTTTAAATGCTTTTTAATTTAAAGTTTATTAAATCGTCATTTGATAACATATTAATAAACGTCGGGTTAAATAAATAACAACTTTGGGACACAATTAAACAAAACAAAAATATACAAATTATACATGTTATGTATATCAATAATTATTAGAGTACTTTTAAGTGCAGTACATTTTTATACAATTTACAAATACTGTGTAATTTCAATGAGTTGTCAATGAGTTTGAATGCATTTAATAAGAAATGGATGGAAGAGAGGGTCAGTTAGGAGGCGGACAACTACTGGTCAACAACTTGTCTTCAAGAGTATTGTCGAGTGAATCATAATTAAGTAAATTATTGTTTGCATTATTAGAGACACGAATACTTATAAATTGTTTGTCGTTTGCGTCGGCTGTATGTGTGGTGTCTGTAGAGTAGGGCCACAAACGGATGATCCCATTCTCGCTCAACGAGCCCTCAATCACTCGATTCCTCATGTATTTCATGTGCGGATACTTTTTAGTGATGAAAATCGCGAGTAATATAAATATTCCTAACAATAGTATAACTATAATGAGTGTTAAAATGATTGCTGTTATGATTAGATGAGAGTGAATGTGATTCGAAGTCATTACTCCACCACTGTTTTGATGAACATCTGAAATGCAAAATATATCATAAGTTTTGTATAATTTATAATTAGAACCAAAAAAAATAATAGTTGCAAAATAACCATGTTGTGAGTTATTAATTATGGCATTACATATGATATAATGTACTATAAATCTTTACATTCAGGAATGTCTATGACATGAAGCAGTTCTTACGCTTCAATAATATGGCAATTCATTGTAAATGACAATTATTTACAACAAATTAACGTATTATATATTTATTATGTTTTACGTTATGTTTTATTGTAAAAATTATTTATAATAAATAAATGTTAATATTCTTAGAAAAAGTTATATATGGTTAATAAATTTGCTAATATTATAATTTTTATGTTTTCAGAAGATTTTATTTATTAAAACGTGTAATATTTATGTCAGTATCTCTTCATTTGTAATCTTTATATATTTTGTTTCTTGACATAAGGCTTACAATAATAGTTTGAAACCACTTCTTGTTAAATGCCATAAATAAGTGAACAAATATTTCATTTGATTTATCGTAAATCAAAGTCAATTCAAAAACAATTTTATATGAATTCTATAATTCACTTATTATTTCGAATTGACATTTTATAGAGACGTGAGATTTATAAAATTTCTGCATAATAACTAATTATATAATTATATTGTTATATATAGTTTTGACTGAATCTATCAAAAAACCATATTTTTTCATTTAAATAATTTCTTGTGTTTTTTGATGTACTATTGATATATGAAATAAGAATAACGTTTGCATTTCTAAAACATTATCACAAACTTATAGTTTTTCAAAGTAGAAATCTTTAGGAATCAATTAAAACAAGATTGAAATACGATTTATGTTAAACAAACCTTTATTGATATGTTGGGCACAAATAGGGCAACACTGATGTGCAATGAATATAGCGTTAGAACATTGAATGGGAGGACAGTTGGGTTGAGTGCACATAATTTTGCCAGAATTACAATAGCATTCCCGACAGCCATCGCTCCAAAAGAGACCATTGCTTACAACAGAACCGTTACTTAAAGTGCAGATAATGTCATTGATTTTGTCATTAATAGTGGTCTGATTGAGATTATGAAGTGTAAGACACTGACAGATAGGACAGCCATCCGTTCCCTTTTTGAAGCCAAACGGACAGAATATTTTACATTTGTAGGACTTATTCAAACAGTGATCGCATTCACAGATTTCAATGCCCAACGCATTTCGTTTAAAGCCCTGCGGGCACTGAATATTACAAGAGATGGTCGACTTTATTGGACACACTGGACAGCACTGGCCCTCTATATTAATAGGTTGATCGCAGTGGACAGGACTACACATTTGCACTTTACAACTGATCTGTCCGTTAGTGCACTCGCAATGCGAACAATCGTTTTCATACCAGTTGTGAGTATTATTATAAAACTTTCCATTCGATGAAATACAACCTGTTTTTAGGTTTAATTGAATCAAACTTTCAATATTTTGAATAATAAATTAGAGCAAAGAATATGGATAAGTATTTAGAGATGTACTAAACGACTAATGAATGTAATTGAATGTGGGATACCCTGACAGATGGGACAGCACTCGTCCTCAATCATAGCCATAACATTGCAATTCTTGGTTTCCATCGTTTGATTGCACTCTTTCTTATGACAGAAAGACAGGCCATCCCTGCACTCACATGTCGTACACTTATCTGCTTTCCATTTGTCTCCATTCATAAACTGCTGATTATTATGAATACATTTTGTCGGACCTATAAGTTTACATAACTTACAATTGGTTTATAAAATAATTATTAGCATTAATTGAAGCCTACCCTCAATGCATACAGTTTTGTTACAACACGAACCGGGTTTCCCATTACCGGGTCGTACCAAATGTGGCCACTTATTGATCGGACAAATTGTTTTCAATTCGTTACAAATATCCGGAAGACATACACATCTAATTACCAATTAATCGTTGGTTTCAAATAATCAGAGCTTTAATTGAAAGCAAAACTTACTTCGTTTGACAGCAAGAATTAGAGCCGGCAATGAATAATTTGTAGCTATCATTAGGGCATTGAATATCATTGATAGCACTGGTATTCTCGCAGTCAATACCTGTACAGTCAAGAAGACCACAAACGCCAATCTCTTGGTCATTGTTCACTAAATTGGTGTTAATTGAGTGCAACTGCTGTGGGAACAGACATCTCAGACCTTTGGCACACTTATTATTTGGTCCACAAGTTTCGCCCTTAGCTTTGAGGCAAACCTGACAGCACTTGCACTCGTCGTCCGTAAATCCCAACAGACATTGTGATGGATTCGGACACTGGCTTTGATTGCATTGTGTTTGATGGCAAATACTATGACTTTTATTAACTAATGTAAGTGTAATGCTAATGAATAGCATAAAAACAAAACTTTGTGTTATAATTATACAACTATTTGATGGCATAGTTTATAGCTATATATAAATGTTTATAACAACTCGTAAACTTTAAGCCTAACAAATAGTAGTACACTAGTAGTGGAAATCAGTATTAATTAGTGATATAATTGAAAACAAGGTCACATTCAATACAATATATTGATTATATCAAAGCAAACAAACAATATTTCAAAAACTTGATTATGAAGTAATGATCATTCAAACCATTATAGGTATTGTCACAGCAATCACTTGTAATGATGAGAGTTTGAAAACTCTTCAGTATTTGATTATCTTTTAAGCAATGATCGGAAGCAGTGATGGAGTGATCGCTGATTGGGAAACAGAGTTAGTGTCACACTTGTAGTCAAGAGTACTACAAATCATTACATTTACACCGATTTGTTGTTTTCAATACTTCACAACACGTTTACCACTTCTATTGATATTATAATTAATGAGTGAATGAAAGTTAGATTTGAATGATGTTTGAATCCATTCCAACGCTTACAACCAAATGAATGCTTTCATTCACTGCTTCTCAATATTCTTCAAGAATGGCCTCAATTGGTCTCACATTCTGTTTAGCAAAACAACAATAAAAAAAGTTTTTAACTTTTTTTCGCATAAAAATACTAACTCTAGGCTCGAAATGATGGGTTGAAGTGAAGCTTATTTACAGCGTTTTGTCGTTTATATGATTTACTAAAACATTAATCGTTAACTTCAAATAGTTTTGTCAAAACAGACAATCCATTCAATATTCACAGAATTCTATAATAGAATATAAATATAAAGACAACAAATCGTGAAAAAATAATCACAAGTAAACGCCGATCAAGTTTTTTTCAAATACCGTTAAATTCTTTAAAGCATTGAGTGATTCAACAAATATTCATAAATACAGCGCAACAACAAAATCGCAGCATTTGTTATACTATTTGTTATTTGAATTATAATATAATCAACGCTTCAATCAATACATGTATTGCACAACAATTAGCTGTTTTGAGATAAGAGAGTAGACAGAGAATTGGTGCACAAATAGTAAGAATAGTTTGCGAAGATTGGCATCACTTCTTGGAAAATATGAATACAAATCATAAAAAAGTTTGCAGTAATTGAGGAGCAGATGAGCCTCTCTTTAATTACAGCGAAGTTATGATTATGTGATTGTGTTGAGAGTTAAAGGCAGTAAAGGTCTAAAAAATAGTTGCCAAGAGTTGGTGTCGACGTCAAGAATTCATGTCATCATCTTATCATTGTTTGGTTTCTTTCCCCCCATTATTACCACTAAAACCGATGCTTTCCAATGAACGCAAACATTACAACTGTTGTCAACATATTTTCATTATCTCGAGTCTAGGCTTTGTTTTTGCATTCAAACAAATTCACATCTAATGTCAACAAATGTTTCACAAATTAGTATAACATTTAAAATGTCAATATCTATAAAATAAAATAATTGGCATATTTTCCGTCATATCATAAAAATTACATCAAATATTCAAAAAATTTTAATCATTTGATTATTAATAATAATAAAACAAAGTTATGTTAAGCACTGGGAGTGGGGCTTAACCACAATTCCAGATAAAGCGATACAATAATACATATTTTTGTCCAATTTATTACAGTATATGCCGTTTATGAGGCATAATATTTATTTACAATACAATTAGTCAGACATTCCATCCAAAGAAGAGACCGATTCGTTCTCAATCTTAGTATGGCTTGAATTGTCCAAAATGGAGGTTCCGTTCAGATCCAGATCCGTTATACCGGAGCTCTTGGCCTTCTCCAGAGTGCGAACTACTGGAACAGATTTGCCGACTATTAATGATTAGAAGTGACGCCTTATGTCCACCACTACTCACTTTGCTCTTCGAGTACTTTGTTTTGTCGCTTCAAGTCATCGATGTCTCCCTGAACTGTCGTATTCTTGCGTCTCATAAACGCTATATATTCGGCCGCTTTCTTCAGTATCTGCGCCCGAGAGGCCTATCGTAACAAACAATACATTAAATCAATACAATTAGCACAGGTTTGGGTGAGAACTCGCCTTTTTGCATACCTTTTCACCATGAAGTGAAGGCACAGCATCTCTTAAACTACTGAAACTGTCTTTTATGTGATCCCTTCGCTTCCTCTCGAGTGCGTTGTGATGCGCCCTCTTATCAGCCTTTCAGCACAAATACAGACATTATTACTGTTATGATAACTATTAATATACATATATTACAGTATATTGTATTCAATTCGCATATAATAGACATTCATTTTACACCTCGTGTTTAATTAAGAATAAGGTTTGCGAGCGAGGAAAGTATTTTTATATTAAATCAGATGTAAAAGTATATACATTCTATACAATCTAACACTTATTCCCATTCAATTTATAGCAATTCTGTGCATTTTTGAACCCTATTTCAGTCCATACAATTAATATTACTAATAGACTAATTATTAGTCCCATAGACTTAATACAGTAAAAATCTCTGTTATCAATAAAAATTCTAATGTAGAACATGTCATAACATAAATCATTGTTCACTCTATTATGCAATGCCATAAGATTAACATGAAAACGTGTAATTAGCATCATGGCTAATTCCATCTGAAACTACATCTCAAATTCATATTCAAAATAAATAGGCCCCACATTTGTGGCCATTAATTGTCATTTAAACTCAATTAAAATATTTGCAGTCATATTAAAAATCAATTAACTTTGCATTTGTTTAGTGTTAATGAGACGTAATTTCTATAAGCATATAACCATGCTCATTATGTGCTCATTAATTACAAACATTAATTAAAATGATAATAATAAACATTAAAAGGCGTTAATGTTTAGAGAGGTTGTATTGAATGGTGCGAATGGTTTGAGCCTTCGTTAGCCCTAATGGCCATTGACTGCATTGACTGCACTACAGGTGTAGATGTGTTGGCAAATGCAATACCTGTGAGAATGAGTTACGATTGGAGTCACCACTGATTGACGCCGAAGAGCACACGTCTTCGTCCTATCAAATGGCCATTCATTTCATTAATTCAATAACAAAATCAATTCAATTCATAACACATTACAGACATTGCAAATACAAATACACTGTAATTATGTTACACAACATTTGGGTCACAATTGTAAAGGTGTCTACACTTACATCGCTCTCAATGTCCACATCGTTGTCCTTCTCGTCGTCACTCATTGTCCACTCAGACACTGTCTGCTCACTGATCACCAAATAGTGGGTCCGAAGAGTAGAATGCGATGAATGAGACAATCAGTTGAGGGGTTGAGTGAAGACAACACGCATTGTGGGCACAAAATGGCCGAATTGGGCGCACATGTGAAACAACACCAACACTACAGACACTACACCACACAATACACACTCACTATAGCGACACCACTCGACCACTCGTCACAACACATGCACTATATTTGCATAATTTAACAAAACTTTTCTAAATTCATTATTCAATTCATACAACAGTTAATTAACATTTTATTAGGCAATCAATTGTCGAGATATTGTTTGATAAAAAAGAAAGACTATTTGATTGGTATGAATATGACATGACTATAGCTTTAAGGCATTGCATCCATAGTTATACAGGTTTTATGCTTTTCTTCGATAAATATCTTATTTCAACTCAACATCTATTGGTTTAACTTTAAATTGATTGCAATAATGATTACATAGAGTGCTATACAAATGAATTATATAAATGATTGTCACATTAAACTCATATTGAATTAAAAGGACACCAGAATTATATAAATGTTAATATTAATATTATTCCTCTCATTACTTCATCACAAATATTCTTATGTTTCAACAAAAATAACATCCATAGGAAAAGGGAGTCTCTCAGACTCTCTCTCTCTCTCTTGAATTGATTATAAGTTTTGTAAATTGATGTCAAACTAGTTGTATATTTACAGTACAGACTCTCTCTCTCTCTCTCTCTCTCTCTCTCTCTCTCTTCTTTCTTTCCTTCTTCCTCTCTCTTGAATTGATTATAAGTTTTGTAAATTGATGTCAAACTAGTTGTATATTTACAGTACAGTAGAGTATGTCCTGTAGTGAAGAAGTGATGCACAGGTTTTGGTGTCTTATCGCTAATACAAATACCTATCTATTGGTGGCCTTTGATTGGTTGAGCGGAGGGGCAGAGAGAGGGGGAGTGAATGGTTGAGCCAATGGGCGTAATGTTATGGTAAGTCTCACACAAAACATTGCCATTTATAATGACTGCCGTCTCTTATAATTGGTTTCAATTCAATGTTTTAATCGCTTTTAAACACACATTAAGTCCAGTATTCAATGCAATCAACTATTGTATCATTTAATGGGCAAAAGTAGTAAAAGAAGTCATCCGTTGGACACAACCGAAGACCAGAGAGACATCGACGACGACTCGGCTTTGTGTGGATCTGATCTCTCGTCAAACGTGCATAAAATGGTCAAATTTGAAGACAATTGCCATCTCTTGAAGACATTGATGAATGTGTCCAATGAGACAATGCTTACACATCCGCCACAACCACTCAATAAGAGACTAAACACCTATTCTTCGAGGTCTCGCAATGGCAAGTATGAGCTCAAGATTGTCTCACAGCCGGAGGAACAGCACAGGTTTGTCAACCATTTCAACGCATATATCAATAGTATATTTATTGTCCCACTTTTGAGACCAAATCTCAAAACGCAAAAACTGTCTAATAATGGACACAAACCCTCTGCAGATGTCTATAAGAAATGTATAGTTAGTTGCAGTTTTGCCAAAGCAATTACCGCTTCTTAAAGTGGTGTTTCCTACCGAGAGGTTCTTCGGTAGTATATATGTATACCTATACAGTATATCTCTAATATTGTATTAAACATAATGTATTTGAGTGCCAAATACTATTAGTTGTATGCGATTGACCATAAATGTGGTCAATATGTAAGGTGTTTGTGGCCATTCGCCCGTTTTTCTTCGAAAAACTCGTGATTTGTGTATAAAATGTAATCATATGAAGAGATTGTGAATTCAAATATTGACATAAAATATTTGCTTTTTTAATTGACCCAAAAGTTAATTCAAATCTTTTTATAACCTAAAGTCCAATCACTAATCAATTGATTATTTGTTTGTTTGAATTAGATTTAGTGTTTAGTAATGTATGTGAATAAATGTTTAATTATTAAATGTTAGTCTGAATTATAATGCAAATTGTGATAATTGTAATGCAAAGTTCACATGTATTGGTAAAACCAATTTGGTTTTAAATAACCATTAATTTGATACGAGTCTCAAATCGCTGCAAACAAACACTTATTGTTGAGATAATTATCGTTAAATATAATCTAAAATGAGAATTAGATGAATAATAATTTGGATGTCATTGAAAGAGCACTTAATATAGACATGAGTTGTCAATAGTTTAATGAACTAGGGCCTTTTTCAATGTCCCTTGGTTATTTTCCACACGTGTATGTACTTTGTTTACAAACTACTGGAGACGCCCTTTCACTCTAACTATAGAGATATTATGAATGACATTGAAAGTCAATTTTGATATACATTTTTAGATATGATTTGCACAACAGATATGTTTGCCAAACATTAATGTTATATTTAATAAGTTTTCATTAAAAATTGTCCGTTTTTTATGTCTTTTAATGAGGAAAACCTGATTATAAGTCCTTTACATAAAAAATATATAATTTTCTCGCATAAGAGGCCACTGAAGGATATTCACCTATACTGTAGTTAGACATGAATTCTGGTTATATTGGCTTTTAGTTTAATATTCATTGAAATCGTCATCTATTATAAGAATTTAGTGTTTTATATATATTTATGCAATAAATTTCAACGATTTTATCGCACATTAACTCCTAATATAAATAAATAAATATTTACTTTAATCTAAAAATGTTTTCAAAATACTTTCCTTTTTAATGGTTATATTACGTACAGAATTTGCACTTATTATCAATACAATGTATATGTCATATACAAGATTAGTAAAGTGTATTAAATAATACTAATGTAATTACTAATTACACACAGAGCCCGATATATGACAGAAGGGAGTCGGGGGGCCATTAAAGACAAGACTGGATTACGGCATCCAATTGTCAAACTATGCGGTTATAGCAAGAGTTGTGTTCAGATTCAGTGTTTCATTGGACACGACAAACAGTTGGGTTCTTCACATCTCTTCTATCAGGCGTCGAAGATATCGGGAAAGAACTCAACGCGTTGTAAGATTAAGAGAGTCGACGGAACCTCCGTTATCATAATGGAGGCCTCGCCTCATAACGATATGCAAGTGACCGTCGATTGTGTCGGCATTCTTAAGGTTTTGTTCATTTGTCTTATGATTTATTTGATGGTTTCTTATTGACTTAATTGTCCGCACAATAGGAGCGTAATGTAGACGTTGAGCAAAAGTTGGCAAATCTCAAGAACCGAACCGATGGCGACGATAGCGATGCGCTTCCCATTAAAAAGCGTTCGCCTCGTTGTCGACTCGTATTCAGTGCGCAAATTCCCGATACAAATGAGATTTTACAAGTTGTCAGTTCTCCTATTCTCTGGTATTATTTATATTAATAACAATTTTTGTTTTTATGAATAAATTTAAACATTTTATTTCTTCCGAAGTACTCAACCGTTAGGAACGCCTGAAATATGCAAGAAATCGGTTTCTCAGTGTCATTCAAAAGGCGGATCAGAGCTCTTCATTATCGGCAAAAACTTTTTAAAAGACGCAAAAGTCGTTTGGAAGGGAAGAGATTGGACTAAAGTTGTCGAACCGGACAAAGAATATTTACATTCCGTAAGTTATGGCAGTTTAGTAAATATTGACTCGAAATTATTGACTTATTATACAATGTCAAACATCAGACACATTTGGTTTGCGTTATCCCATCCTATGACGGACCAGAGCCTAAGACTCAAAATTCAATTGACGTCTCATTAAGTATCAAAAGTGGCGGTAAATACTCGGACGCTCACAGATTCACGTTTACTAACTCTGAAAGTGGTAAGAGATAGAGTTCCTATTGTTCACACATTTATCATCACTTTTGTTGTACTTCCAAACGCATCTTCAGATAACATTTGACAACAACTCTGAGTTGATGTGTGAGAGTGTGTATTATGTGAGACATGAGTTGATGTGAGTGTTAGTTAAGTGAAGAATTTAAACACTTTATAGAATATTATATATGAATGGATTGACTGTTTGTGTTGAATGTTTATTTTGTTTGTTAATTAAGACTACTTTTATCGATCACTTCTTCAAAACAGCTTTGGACGTCAAGAGATGTGCTTTTGATAGCAGTTATTATGAGATTAAGTCGTAAAACAATAAGTGAAGTCTACTTTTTCTTGTTTCGCTGAGCATTAAATTGATTTGTCGACTAATTGTGTATAATGTATGGGACAGTGAGTGTGTGTGCAATAGTTGTTGTCATCGGTATCTGAAACCGATAGAGTAGTGCAACCGATGAAGCAATGGTTGCGCCCATTATTTAGATGAGTTGGTCCTGATTTGGAAGTACAATACGTTAATTAATTGTGTGAAGTGTAACACTTGTATGCCTTTCCTTAGCCGTCAACAGCGATGTGAAATTGAGCCAAATATAGCTTTGGATAGCATTGTCTGAATTTGTTAATTAGCCGCTCATCATAGCATTGATCGAGTGGTAGGACCCAAACCATGATAACAACCAATTTATATACAAAAAACAAAACCAATACATCAGACACAGCGCTCGCCCTATCATTTCATTTAATCCCCACGCGATGTATTGGTTTTGAGATAATCAAGTCTCACCTCTCCTTTACTCTTGAGACTTATTTCAATTGAATTAAACAATTATTTACTAAATGATGCGATACTTGATTATCGAAACCATATTTAAAATATATTATTACATTGTTATTACTGATAACCTTTGACTGAATGACTTCTCAGTGACAGAATAGATTTGATGATCTGAATTATGATTCGAGCCCTCATTCACCGGCCCTTACCGTCGGTTCCGATGATAGCGCAGCCGCTTATGAATCAAATGAATTCTAGTCTAAAGAATCATAAATCGTGTTTTTGTAGCTTTTATTATGTTTTTAATACTCAACAAATCGAAATCAATTCGATATTAAGTTTAGAATAAGAATTAGTAATAAAAATAATTAAAATTCTGTCACTGAATGAGTACTGAACGAGTGTTTGTATGCGATTTGTATGTTGTGATGTGATTAGTGTCTTAAATGAGAGAATGTTGTGATTGAATGTATTGAATGAATGGCTAGAATGTTGAGCACAAATATCTGTTTGATTTATTATAGTTTGTATCGAAATGAATACACATTTTATGAGTGGTTGTGATTTGCGAGAAGTGATTGTGTGAGCGTTGAAGGGGTCCGAAGTCAAAGGTTCGACTTAATTGTCTTAATCTTATGATTGTTTTCCTCCAATTCATTGTCTAATAATATTCTATATCTGAACGCATAGTCAATACAATGACATTGTTTAACGGGACGACACAGAATCAGCTCCTGATGTCCAGTTTCGAGAAGCCGATTATCTTTACAATGATTGGCTCGACTATTGCTAACACAATGGACTCGCAAATCATTTCTCAAAACATGTTGCCCTCAAATGTGACTCCCATTCAAACGGAACGAATGAATTCATTGAATTCAGATACTGTTTGCTTCGGAAACGAGAATTCGAGTTCAGAATCGTTTCTATCGATGATTACAGAAGACTCGCAAATCAGTAGTCATTTCATGAATTCAACATCACTTTCAAACGCACCGCAAATCACTCACACTTTCGATCCGATAAGTGTTATGTCATTTGAGGATACAATGCAAGAGATGCCGAGGAATAATAGCAACACATCTGTCTTTACAACAGAAACACAGACTACGAGATCAATCGCGTTGGACCTAATGTCCGAAACTGTATCACTTCCGGGGGAATCCGTAACGCAATACTTACCGCTCAACACATTCAACACGATTGCAGCCAATCTCGTAAATGCCAACGACTCGACACAAATGGCCAATTTTTCAAGCATTGATTCAATGAATTCATTAAATCGCGACAATATGTCAAACATAATGCAGATCTCTGTTCCGGTGACCGCAACCATATGCACACAACCGGACCAATCGCTCAACTCTTCTTCTACGGCCACTATTGATACGAAAGTAAACACAACGACGGAATCGATAGCAATGTCTGAAGTATTATCACTGCCACAAAATCCAGTGCTCACATCGACCGCCGACGCCACTCCTGTCACTCAAGCGACAAATATATCTGCGCTCTCAGAGATGTCGGACGCGGAACTGCTTTGCTTCATAAATCCGGCCACTTTTGACCAAAGTATGTCTTTATTGTATATCGAATTTACGTTTTTCTAATCAATTTTATTCTTGATTGCAGTTTAATCTCTCAACTGATGATCTCTTATATCGAGTTTTGTATGACTTAATGACTGACTTATTAAGTCATTATATTTTGGATTTATTTTGGTTTTATAAGATATTTATCTCTACATGTTTTTCGTCTTTTGTCCCATAATTATATATTATTATACAAATATGTAAATGAAATTAATGTAAATTTGATTTGATTTGATAAATGATTGTCTCATAACTAGAACTCATCTTTGATTAAATTAAAGTTTACGTGTAATTTGTGTTGAAAAAAGAAATGAGTTTTTTGTTTTAATTGTAAATTATAAGTCCGATAACGAGTAACGAATGCACTGAACGATGAAATACAGTTAGCAATCAATTGATTGGCATTACTTAACAAATAAATATCTGTTATGATATCGTTGGGTCGGCTGTGCTCTGAAACTTCACCCGAAGACCACATTGTGGTCGTCGGTGTAATGAGTGTCACATTTGGAAGTTTTTCGTGAATTAATTGCCAAAGTGTTTGATTATCACTATCTGTCGCCACATATATAGTTTCAATTCCATGTATTGTTTGCTTAATTTGTTCAACGATTGTGTCAAATGTGGGGAAACAGAGCTCATAGGGTAGGGGTTGTGGGGATTGATTGGGTGGAGAGCACTGTTGCGATGAAAACAATTGTTCCAATTGTGGATTTTCTTCGAGTAAAGCACAAGCCTTTACCTATTTATTCAAATTAATGTTAGATGTCATCAAAAATATTATGAATACGAACCCAATCTGATCCATGCCTAAGATGTAGCGCTAGATATGGTTTCCCAGAAAACCCTCGAGTCCTTCGGTATTCTTCAGAAGATTTGGTCACTTTTGGGGATAAATGAATGTATTGTTGAATTTCAACGGCTTTTTCATTGGTTGGAAAGGCCGACGGCGCGCCTGTTGTCCACATTATTTGGATCAGAGATTACTTTAATAAATATTCAACAATATTCACAAATTGTGTTAATTCTTACCGACAAATGCCAAAACCTTTAAGTGTTTAAATCTTATGATCCATTCTTTGGCGTATTTATAATCCGTAAGAATTGGTGAATGAAAGACAGATCCGTTTTTGAATTCATTTACACCGATATGAGTCCAAAAGGCGTTAAACGGATTCCCATCTAAAGGATTGCATCCCTTCTCCTGTGATCCTCTCGAAGAATAGCAGAGTATTGAGCGGTTCTCTAAATACATAGACAAAGGCAAATGGTTTAACCATATCATCAATAATACCGATTGTCATACCCTTTGGCCAAACAGTTGGCGCTAAATGTTTCATAAATGTCTCTAAAGTAATCACACGATGGAAGCGTTGAATCGGTTCCAATTGAATGTAATCATCAAATGGTATAAAATTAATCTAAATTTAAACCAAATTAATAATTGAATGACAAAACTAGTTGTGAATTATATGAACAAATAAAGACCTTATAGTGATTGTATTGTATGAACGGCGGAAGTATTAAAGTCCTGTCCAGCGATTTGGCGAATTGAAGACTTCCTAATAGCTGTTCCGCTTGATTACCAAAACGACCTTAAAGTTTGTCAAAGTTTTGTTAATTTCATTGTTTAAGTGACGAAAAGTTCAAAAAGTTGTGACATTTGAGTAAAATTCATATGAAAATGTTAGATGTATTGTACGAACCCATACACGAACAGTACATTATATACCCGTTTGGGTCGATGTCTACTAATTCACTACATATTGACTTCAATTCAATTAAAACTAATAACAATTTGATGTAAAAATACATCATTTAAAACGAAAACATTGGTTAAAACACATGGCATTGAAAATAAACAAAACAAGTTTCAAACAAACAGTGATCTCCTCTTTGCATCACTTTTGTATGGGTTGTGAAAAAGTGAGCAAAACTTTGAGCACTACTTTTGCGCTGATATGTGACTGCAACTAAACTTTTGTTCCATTGCTTATGCATTGCATATGTATTACGTTATGATATTATGAGCACATTTTAAAATTATAATTCAACACAACATGTATTAATTATTTGCTTTAATTATAATTAATTTATTTTTATTTTAATGATAATTACTTAATACTATGCGCATTATTATGATTAAGGTCATTTGTGTTTATTTACAATAAAATTAATAAAACAATTAAATATACCGTATTTTTCGCAATGATTGTTAGTCGAGAGACTAAATTAAACTAAACTTGAGACAAATGTAAGATATGGTGTGTTTAAATGAGTTATAATTATTGACAATAACTCTATGTTGTCAACCAAATGCCCCTAATGCATAATTCATAGATGTTTACTGTACAATTTAATTGGCAAATATATTTAAATAAAACTTTTTAAAATTTTAAATTATAGCCTAGAATCTAAACTTTAGATATTGAGACATTCGTAAAACATTTTATACTGTATTAGAATTTTTAAAGTTTATCATCTTTTCAACGATAATCGTATTAATTAATCATTGGATATATTTATTATATAATAATTGTATTTAAATTGAAAGTTAGACTGATTTATAGAAGATTTCAAATTTGGTGCAATTTGTTAGTTAAAAATGTTTAGAAATAATTAAAATTATTATAAAATATAACAAAATATGTTAACTAAACATAAGTTTGCGTCTATACTATCGGTTCTATAGGTTAGCCAAACTCTATATCACATTAATATCAATACTTTGGTTAGTGTTTGATGTTTTCTAAATGCAATATATTTGATGCTATTTTCATATTTATAATATAATTTACTCCACAATCAGTTATCCGTACATTAATTATATTGATAGAGAATAAAGGCATTGCAAACACTAATATTATCTCTATTGTATTTATTAATGTAAATATTATTTTATAACTCGATTTAATGCCACAAATGATATGAAATAAATATAATTTATTATTTATTAAATGTTATGACAGTCAATGGAAAGTGATTTAAATTAATTTATTTTGCATTAAAAGTGCAAAAAAGTGATCATTTGTTAGCATTTAAACGTCAAACCCATAGAAAATAGTGTTGTATTGAAGTTGTATTCAATTTGAATGAATGGCTCAAAAGCCAGACATTTGTTTGTGTTTTGCAATGCTTTTCATGTATTCATGGATTGAATGAATGGTTGAATATTTTGATCGCTTTTATCAGTAATAAAGTAGTGATCATTGGTTTGTGTGAATTGAGTGGAAGTGTTGGAAGTGTTGGAAGTGCTGAAGATGTGGGCGGAGGCGCGCAAACACGAGAAGAAGTTGAAGGGACTTATGATTGACTACAGACGGAGGGCTGAGAGGAGGCGTGACTTCTACGACCGCATCCGATCTGATCCGTCGGCCTTTCTTCAGGTCCACGGAATGCAACTCAAGATACACATCGACCCCAACCTGTGCTCAATGGCCGAGACATCGCTGATGCCATGGATGGGCGACACTAACAATATGATCGACAGGTTTGACGTGAGGGCACATCTCAACCAATTAGATCTCGAGGCAAACACTACCCAAACGGCCACCGCTTCCGACGCCAACACATCATCTCTTGAGGACACTATTGAACGACAAATCAATTACGAAAGATATCGTAATTTAGTTCAAAACGAGTTCTTAGGCGTCAATGAAACTAAATTCTTGCATCAGATTTGGTTAGAAGAGAGGTTTGGTGTCAATAATCAAACCCAAAAAGACAATCAAAACAAAGCCATTGAGAAGAAGAAGTTGGCGCAGAAGAAGGCGGCCATTGCTTACAATTATGATAACGAAGACTCCGCGGCGACGGCTCACCAAAAAGTGAGCGAATCTGACGAAGAGTCCGATGAGGAGAGCTCTGACGAAGACTATGATTTCGACACAACCGTAAACATCGATCAGTTGGACAACGAGTCCGGACACCGACTCAATGCGATTGGCCTGAAGTTTGGTCTGAAAAGCGATGATTTCATCAAATACTTAGACGACGATAGAGTGGAGGCCGAGAAGATTCGGCTCCAGAAGGAAGTGGAGAACGAGAAGTCGATGTTTACGGGACGCAAATCCAGACGCGAGAGACGGGCTCTCAAAGAGCAACGGCTCATGATTTTGAGGAGTTCTCATATCGATATGACCGACAGATTGCTGTCCAATAGACACCAATCCGAAGACAAACAGATCCAAAGCTCATCAGAATCTGAAGTCTCTGTCGATGAAAATAAGATTGAATTCATTACTGAATTTACGTTTGGCGGCGAGTCTTCCGAAGACGAGACAGAGAAACAAGTGATTGAAAAGAAGACAAAACAAGTCGTTTCAAAGGGTAAACAACGGTTAAAATCTAATGCAAGCGATAGAAACGATTCAATTCCAACGCTTCCTGTTTATGGACCAACACTTCCCGGAGAAGACACGGTTTCGTCGCTCACCAACACTTCATTCAACAAAACTATTCATTCAAAACAAAGGTCTTATCGTTTAAATCATAGATCAAGAACCAGATCTCGAAGTCGTTCTATCAATAGGAGTAGATATCGAAGCAGATATATGTACAGAAGTCGGAGTCGATCTCGAAGTAGATCCAGAAGTCGTTCAAGAATTTATAGGAGAGGCAACCGATCGCGTTCTCGAAGCCGACGGTCCAAAGAGAGACACCGAAGATCGCGATCTCGTTCTCGGGATAATAGGAGACGGCGTCGAAGTCCGCCGAGACGTCGCTCGAAGTCTCGCGAAAGACAGAGATCGAGATCACGAGACCGACGGCGACATCGAAGACGGAGTACTAGTTTAGACAGAGAACCAAAAAGGGAAAGATCTCACACCAGAACTACGAGAATAGAAAAAGTAGAAAAAGTACACAAAACTGAAGACATTGTGAATGAATTGCCAAAAATTGATGACAAAAAGCAGGAAATAAATATAATTGCGGAAATGGAACCCAATTGTGAGCCTTTGAATCAATCGATTACTGAAACCAAACACATCAAAGAAGAGGAGGATATCAAAGCTAAGGCTCCGTCGCCTCCACTCAAGAGTTATTACAGGTTTTTAATGCACTCATAATTATTGCAATTTTTATGCAAATATTGATTTTTGTTGTAATAAATAAAGACACGATCTCTGCGATAGTGATGAAAGCGGAGAAGCAATGGATGTAAAAGAGGGCCAAAGTTCAGAGACAAAAGTTGAAGGGTTAGTGGATTAGCGGTCGGTTTGATCTTTACTTATGTTTGATTGATATTTACAGAAGTAATCAAAACACGATTATTCGAAGTAATAGTCATTCCGGACATAAAGTCAGTAAGAATTGGATTATCTCTTCTTTGCCAGCGCTGACCAAAGAATGTCTACTCTTTTAGCGCTTCATTTAGTTGTAAAATAAATTCATATGAATTGTTGCTCTTATAATCAATTACAGTCCTCTTCGACGGTTACACCACAAGAACGACTTAAACGGAAAATGCAATCTTTGATTGACAAACAATGTATTAATTCTTGACTTTTGACAATTTGATGCAACTCTTACATTCAATGACTTGTTTTACTTTTTTAGATAAAAATGATAAAAAGGCTGAACTCGAGAAGTCCAGGATTAAGATGAAGGAGAGGGCAGACAGAGAGGATAAACTTCGAGTTATTAGACACCGGTTAGCAATGCATCTTATTTTGTTAATACTGTATGTTTTAAAACATTTTGTTTTCAGCCGACACTTAAGCCGAGACCAGAGGGATTCGCGGTCTCGCTCTCGGTCTAAATCAATGGCCAGCTCTTCGTCTTCGTATTAAACAATTCGTTTTTTATTCTTAATAATAATCTAAACAATTGTTGTGAATATTCAATATTAAAAAATTATAAAGATTTTTATAAATATTTTCTAATTATATAATTTGATGCAAAAATGCCATATTTTATGGAAAACGACAATTTATAATGAATTAAAATTCAAAAAAACTATTTATTTATTTCAATATCTGTATATAAACTCATTTACAATCCATAACCAAATATGGATTCATTCGATGCATTGGTTTGTTTACAGCGATTGCAAACATGTCTTTAAAAATAAGTATTTTATAAACTGTTTTAAAAATTAAAGTATTTTTAATTTTAAAAAATATGAAATAAATGGTTTGATTTGATCTATAAATAGAAAAAACGACAATTCGTTATAATTAGAAGATTATAAAACAAATGGACATTCAATTGCCATAAATTAAAAAAGTCGTCAAAATTGGAAAACTGGGCCTTAATTTCACTTGAAGTACAAATTTCATTACAAACTAAACGATTCACTCAATCGTCCACTTTATCGTCGGAATCAGACGTTTTGCGTCTTCGCCTCAATTCAGTGCCTGCGTTCACGTCATCACTCGTCTCTTCGTCTTCTTCCTCCTCCTCTTGTATCCGATCATCGATCAGATCATTCGAGTCGTCGTCTTTCACTTTTGAATTCAAATTCTTCTGGTCTTTAGTTTCGTCACTCATTTTCGCCGGAAATATCAGATCAATAATGCAAACAATTAACTGACAAAATAAATTGTATTATTAATTAATTGCATATTTTTCGCAAATAAAATATCTAAAAATCATTGCATATTTGGTGTCATATTATGTAACTTTAGTATTCATTCATAATATAATACTTTTCCTTTAATAAACATTAATATAAAAGAGATATAAATATAGTTTTATAAAATGTTTCTTAAAATGAGATGAAAACCCTGTTCTCATATTAACTCACGAAAGGATTATTAAGTTATCAAAGAGTTTATCTCAAAGAGAAATTATAAAAATTGTTGGACACATAGAAACACTATTATAGACCTTATGGTCTAAGACTGGAAGACAATCAACTGATAAATACATACCAATCCTAAGAGGGCTCCAAATAATATGGTAACGAAAGCAAACAATACATAACTACCCCAATAGGGTATACCTATTATACAATCAATAAATCATTGGTTTGATATAATTTTATTAATTATTTCATACCATAATCATCGACGAGTCGATTGTGAACTGCCCTCAAAGCCATCGATACTTTAAAAAAGTACGAAACGATTGACATTCTGTTGGTTTCAAGAGTTTGCTTTAAAAACTAATTCAAAAAAGTTTGTCAAATAAGTGATTAAATACTGACAGCACAGAGTCGGGTGACGTCCAGAGGGATATCGGGTCCAACGACTGCCACGTCTTCTGCTCAACAAAATTGACAAAAGCATTGCTATCTCGGGATCCCTTGTATTGCCGAAAAACGCCTTCTTTAACGCTAAAAACACATGTATTGTTCATTAGATGACAATTTATAACAGATATACCGCCGAAGACTCACTGATAAATGGTAGGCAATTGTGTGACCAGAAAGCGTCCGCTGAGACCGGGATTGGCCGTCACGTCAACCGCTCCGACATTTATGCTATCAATACATGTAATGATTATGCAATCAGACAATGAGGGGGAGGGGAGAGGAGGGCAGAGGAGGGGGTGTGGAAGTGATACCTGAGGTCTTCGCTCCAAGTGGCGAAAGTTTGCCAATCCTTCTGGAGTGAGCGACAGGCCGGACACCACGGGGCGAAGAACTCTACCATCCATTCACCCGACAACATGTCGGACCAGTTGTCTTCGGTCAACACAATCAGCGCACTCTTGGCTGAACTTTGACGACACAAATGCAACAAAATTGCAACAATTATCACATGTTTTGCACTGCATTTCATCGAGAATTTGAAATTCATGTTTAATTCAATGAGATATTAGTCTCGCATTGAATGGCAATCAAAACAATCAAAACAACAAATGTATCGAAGAGTAGATGAAGTGATTAATTGAATACCAATGCAAGCGATTAGTACTGAATGTCAACACAATTCACACCAAAACTCTCCACTCTTTCAAAGAGTTTACAAACATTTCATTGGATTTAAGTCTCAAATGACGTGTCCTTTCACTCCAAACATGATTTCATACATTAATTACGACAAAAACTGCACAAACTTTGAAACACGAAAAGCGCTCAAAACTTTTGAAATACATTCAAATTGGATACAAAATATAAACTCATTGATTGATACGATTTGACCACTCGTTTCAATTGTATCAATATATGATTGATGTGTTTAATTGCCCATAAATACCATTACTATGATTGTATGCATTCACATATAATTACACCATTTCTGTCATCAATTATCAACAGTTTGTTAAAATTTTGTTAAAAATTAAAATATATTTCAGAAAACATCACTTTTAGACCAAATAATTTGAAACAATGATTTGACACAAAACAATAATTAATAATTTAATCAATTATAAGACACTTTTATGTTTACTCGCATACACTGTAATCAAAATACATTATTGATTTAAATCAACGATTTTGTTGTAAAGGGGTAGTCAAGTTATCTTGACGCTCGCGTTTTGGCCATTACTCCTAAAGTATAAGAGATAATTAGATTCTGTAAAATGGATATAATAGAGAATTATCGGGGAAATTTTTTGTATATTTCATA